GTGAACGTTTCGCTGTGCAAGCCACAGCTTCTTCAGCAGAATATACGGATTTTTTCTATTAACAAATCTCGTGAATGAAGATTGTTTTGGTGGAAAGTGGATATCTTAAAAAGTTCTTGAAGAACGTTATCGGTCAAACGGAAAAAAAAAAAGCAAGTACTACTGCTAGTAATAAAGGTACAGCAAAACCATAGGCGTCATCTATGACGATACCATATCGAAAGGTACTTCTGAATAGATTAAAAGAGTGTGAGCCTCGCATGGTATTAAAGTCTGTTTTAAACCTTCAAATTCATTTGAAAAGATCTTCGTCAAAGTGAATTGTATCTTTTCAAATGAATTTGAAGGTTTAAAACAGACTTTAATACCATGCGAGGCTCACACTTTTTTAATCTATTCAGAAGTACCTTTCGATATAATATCGTCATAGATGACGCCTATGGTTTTGCTGTACCTTTATTACTAGTAGTAGTACTTGTGTTGTTTTTTTTTCGTTTGACCGATAATGTTGTTCAAGAACTTTTTAAGATATCCATTTTCCACCAAAATAATCTTCATTCACGAGATTTTTATTTTTCAAATCATTGGGATCGGTTACGATATTTTTCGCTCTATTCAATAGGTTCATTTTGACTATCTTATATATTCGTTGACAAATGACAGTGATAACAACCATGAACTTGTAATGACTAATCTTAATTACTCATATTGGACAGGAAGGTCATCCAACCAATGACCTACATTCACTAAATATATTTGATGTATCATTTGACTATATATTTTGATGTTAATAGAAAAAATCCGTATATTCTGCTGAAGAAGCTGTGACTGATGTCATGTATCTATTTAACTACTCTGAAGTTTCCTACACTATTCCATTCAAGTTTCCACACTGACACATGCCAATTGTCATGTACAATTCTTATCCGATGCATTCCGGTTGACGATGACAATGCAACGAACCTAGCCGTATATTTTATTGATATTGTTATATAAATATTCTGTTTTCATGTATAAATCAAATGCTTGCACCTTAAACAGGTACTTCTCAGATGTATCCCTTTCATTGGTACTTCACTTCCGCACTACCTAGATCCCTTTTATGTTCCTGCTTATTGTTATATGCATGGGTCCCAGTAGCCATTGTGGGAATAGTTTTCAGAAGCTTTCTGTTCACCGATGTTGTTTCTTAATACCTCAGTCAACTGGATTATTGTTTGTTGCTTTGATATTCATTGGGTTGTACTCATTTTTGCCTCATAAAGAATTACGTTTCATTATTTATGTGTTACCGGTGTTCAATCTAGCGGTAGCGGATATTTGGACTTATCTGTGAGTTACTTACTTGGTTTCGTATTATATTTGTATGTCATTTTTCGATATCGTTGATTTGTCCAGTGCATAAACAGTTCCCGAAATTGATAAATAAGCCTCAATGAACAGTTATTCCGGCTAGTCCATTCGTCATGGTTTGTAGAGACACGCAACATGAATTTCAGTATTATGCGAGACTATGATGTGGTGATGCTTTTTCATTTCCTCCGTTTGTCATGATATGTGGCCACCATTGGAGATGGATACCGGGGTTCCAGTAACTAATCGCTGCTTCCTACAAACGTTGAATTGTTGCAACTTAGGCCGTTACGCAGTAATGCCTGGTCCTATGTTGATTTGGATGGATGGATGATGGACAAACTTTGAATCAAACCTACCCCTATTTCATTGCCAGTAATACTCGAAGTAGGCAAAAGGTTGTAGGTGACGTAGTTGGTTGAATGAATCGTATGGATCATACTTCATATGAGCTGTTTATTCTCCTTCTCGGCAGCATTGTCATAAATAAAGCAGAATACGATTGTCTAAAGATAGTGTCGACTGCGATATTTCACATGTCAGCATATTTTTCACCTCCAACGTTTTATGTCTTTAAGTCTCAGTGTATTTCAAACGAAACAGTTCCAACGTTTTGTACACAAATCTAGTCAGAGCTTCTTCAGGGGGAATAATGATAGCTAAAGTATCAAAGATATGAATGAACTCACAAACGTTTACTAGTTCGCCTCGATCAATCCAGCTTCTTAACCTTTGCTGAGGTTTTTCAAATCTGCTTTGGATGTAGTATATGCTCCCTCACGCTTACACTTACTTGCCTGCCTCCCTAGATAAACTACATTACAATCAATGCGTTTGATTTCCTAAATGCCGTTTTGTTGATTCTTGTTCGGTACTTCGTCTGTGACTTCGGATCAAGCAGAACGTAGAGAGAGTATTCGCTGCACGAAAATAGTCCCTTATGTCATATTTAGCAAAAGTTCTCATTTCTTCTGACGTCTCCTTAGAATGTGAAATTTTCAGTTTTGATTCAGTTCTTCGAAGATAATTTTGGTACATTTTTAGTTTCACTTTTTAAGATTCACTGTACAAAGTTCATGAGATAGTTATTTGCTTCCACTGTATAGCAAACTGACTTTAACTCTTACTTTTTATCCTCCTTCATTGTAACAAAACGACTAACTCTGTTGATTTGACTTAGAGCGACTGTTACTTTCATGGTCAAAGTGGAGAGATTTATAGTCTATGTATCTTTCAGCATGTATTAATTTTCTAGATAAATTTATCTTTATTTTTTTAGCGCCTTTCCATCATACAGTTCATAAAAGTGTTAATTTTTTGGTAAATGGAATTCAATCTCCTTCGGGAAAGTTATACTTCCGTACTCACTGTTCACATGTCAGAAAATTTCATCCAGACTGTTTCGTTTAATGATAATAAACATCTCGTCTAAGCATCTTAACCAAATTTTTGAAGGAGTAGAACATTTTAACATTGCGTTAGTTATTAATGAACTCATGAAAAAGTTAGCTACTATTGAGGATACTAAAGATCCCACTGGTGTATACCATCTATCTGTCTGTATAAATCACCTCTGAATGTAAACACAGTTGATCGTAAACATAATCCCAGAGACTTCAGAATTTCTCTTAGATCTAACGGACAACATGATCTTAGGTCAGTATGTAACAACAATGGGTTATAAATGATGTCTAATGCATCTTTAATGAGCATATTAATAAATAAAAAGCAAACATCAAAACTCAGCATTATTTCCTTGTCAGTATAAGATGATTTTATTCGTGATTCCAGACGAATCGTCTGTTTCATATTTTAATTCCTTTTTGTGTCAACCAACTGATCCCTTTGATAAATTCAAACAGCATAATGAGAAGACAAAGATTATCTGAAACATGTGATGTATTAGTGCTATACATTTCGAACAGTCTGACCACATATAAACTTATCGAACTACTTATGTGGAAATTTACGAAAAGGGTCAATGAAGTTAATAGGAAACCTAGGAATAGGGAGGGAGAGAAAAAGAAAAAATGTTACTCACGTTACTCTTGGTATGAAAATCAAGATCAACCTGTAGGTCGCGAGTTCGATCCCTGGCGGGGTTGTGGGTGCGCACTGCTGAAGAGTCCCATACTAGGACGAAACAGGTGTCCAGTGCTCCCAGGTTTCCTTTGTTCCTCCAATTGATGTCAGTCTACGATGAATAACAACTTGAAAAATCAATACCACCAAGGTAGATTCAACATGAGTACAAATGGTTTTTCTATACATAAAGGGGGTTTGAATTTACGGATGGCAAGAGCTTCAATAAATTTAGGCACTTGGCTCTGACCACTTTTATGTAGTACTTTAAAGGCTGTTTTCATGTCTATCCTATGTTTAGTTTCTAGTATATTTTTCAGCGATAGACGAAGATGGATGTTTGTCACCTGCACTTATCGGATCTGTTGAGGTCATTTGTTTTTGTGGCCACTTAGGTACATGTTCAGCCTTCCTTAACTGCATATCACGATTACTCTTCCCTATATATGTGTGTCCACACATACATGTAAATTGATAAACACAGTGGGATGTGATGTAATCGTTTATGTGTTGTTTTGGTTTGTGGTGTAACATGGACTTTGTCTGCTCTACAATGATGACTTTGGCTGCATAATACGTTTTACAGATGGCCGATCTAAGTCTTTTCCTCACAGCAAAGCTATGTGAATCACCTCTAAATGGTAATGAGATATAGACACTTTTCTCAACGACAGAACATTGTGTACTTTTCAATGGTACGTAACTTTTGCACCTGTCGATAAATTTCAACGAGTAGCCATTCTGCGTCAGTTTTGTCGTCAGTAAGTTAGGTCGACAAGTCCATGTGTGATCAGATTGTTCGAAATGCATAGCGCTAATACATCACATGTTTCAGATAATTTTCGTCTTCTCATTACACTTTTTCGTATAGTTTTAAGATTCTTGATATATATTTTGCTAAATTGTATGTTGGTGAGTTAGTGAAATCTGTAACCGGTCTGGGAGGAATGCTCATCTTGTAGATTTTTGGTAGCCCATGGAATCTATAGGATTTACAACCTTTTGGCGCTAATGAGAACCACAAAGAAGTACCTAATTCATGAAGAATTTGTGCATTGTAGAGTCAATTTGTTAGAAATACATTCGTAATGAATTTTTATACACAAGGATGTTCTTTCATTTTGTTAGTATTTCGAGTGAAATTACTCCTCGTGATCACGCTAATCATTGAAATTATTTGTTCACACATTGATGGATTATTATTATTATTATATATTATTTGTGCCTCGGGTTCCTAGTGGAACATAGGGTTTCAGTAGCACGTCCACATTTCACTCTCTTCTCTACAGTCTTTTCTAAGTCGATCCACGACAGCCCACAAGCTTTCATTTCTTCCTCACACAATCTCCTCCATCTCACCCTCGCCTCGCACACCTAACTCATCCTTTCCCCTTATCATTCCACTCGACGACCTCGTCTGATCCGTGATGTCCCATAACGGTCTTCTCAGTGTATATCCAATCCATCTCCACCTTCTCCTGCATATTTGTTAGGCGACAGGTTCTTGGTTAGTTCGTCGTGAGGTCAGAGTTCCTTGTTGCTTATTCTTACTATTCTGGCCATCAGATCTTCAGTACCGGGTGAGGGTAGACGGCAGCTGTCCATGTATGTCTGTAGTTTGTTGGAAATGCTTTTCGTAACGCACCAAGTCTCTGAACCATCACAGAGAACCACTGACTTGACTGAATTAGTGTTGAAAATCCGGATCTTCTTCTTTATTCTGAATGAGGTGGAATAGATCTCCACACTGATTTCAGGTTAATTAAGGCCTGTCTTGCTATCTTTTCGATCCTGGCTTTGACGTCCTCATCTGTGCCTATGCCGCCTGTAGTTGAAATGATGCTGTCTAAGTAGGTGACAGGGACAACTTCCTTCAGATTTTCCCCGTTGATGGCGATTGGTGTTTGATGCTTGTTGTTGTTGGTTGGGTATCTTCATCACCTCTGTTTTCTCTACGTTCCGCTGAAGAAAGTCCCGTCTTCGCTGCCTCTTCTGATATATATATATATATATATATATATATATATATATATATATATATATATATATATATATATATATATATATATATATATATATATATATAGTTTCCATTTTGCATCCTGCACTATGTTCCATAATACTGACAGTTATGTTGAGTCACTTTTGTGGCAAGTGTTTGGTGTAACTTATATGAATATGGTCATCAATCTTTCTTTCCATTTGTTCGTGTTGGACATTGTCCTAGTCAGTGTTATATTTTTCACTCCACACGTGCACTGGTATCGATGATCTTTCTCCCAAATTTTGATATTCTTGTGTCCCTATGGAACTGAACTTTAATTAATCGTCAATATTCATTCAGTCAAATTTCGAGTGATCTCGGCGTTTGACCTACATAGTTAATTATGCAATCACCACGAGATATTTTGTATATAACATTATTTTTGTCCAATTTTTTACTGGATCTTTTAGTTGGGTTATGAACAGTTTATAATAGAAAAAGCAAACACCGGAAACAAAAGTGGAAAGCGATAAAAAGAGATGAATGTAAAAAGATTGTGGTATTACAATATATACATCTGAGGCAACGCAAAGAAATCTCGGAAGAGCAGATATTGGCCTAAGATCATGTTCATTGGGAATTCTTAAGTCTGTAGGATTATGCTCACGATCGACTGTATTCACACTCAAAGGTGATTTGTACAGATGGACAGATGGTATACCAATGGGATCTCCAGTATCCTCAATAATAGCTAGTTTGTAACCCTACGTTTACAAGGATGGAGGTAAGAAATTGCTAATCAGAGTGATGGAGGTACTAGGTAGTGTATAGGAGTCAGAAGTACTGCCATCAGACTGTTTACTTATCTGATCATCCCAGTCTGTAAGAAGGGAAAGAAGTCTTTTTGTGAAAACCATAGGGGAATTAGTTCGACTATTGTTGTATCGAAGATCCCGTGCTCCATAGTTATTCGATGCTAGAGCTCCACTCGAAGAAACCAGGCAGGTTTCGGACATGTATGAGGGTGCACTGATCACATTTCCACCATGCGACAGTTTTTGAAACACAGGTATGCTTACTGGCGGCCGACACTTACCATATTTCTTGGCGTGATGGCGACACTGGACTCTATCAACCATGAGGTGTTGCTGCAGTGTCTGACTGTAAACGGAGTACCGAGGTGGTATGCGATGCTTATCAAACCTCTCTACTCTGACTCATACAGCCGTATTAGGGCTCATGGATAGTTTTCATCTGAATTGATGACAACTAGCGGCCTCCGTCATGTATGCCAACTGTCATCCTTCCTACTTAACTTCGTTATAGATGTACTAACGGACATAACCTTAGGTAAGTTTGACTTCACAGAGATTGACCTATTTATTCCCTGGGGTGATCTGGTAGACTTGGAGTATGCTAACGATATTGTCCTTCTAGGTGAAGATGCTGATAAAATGTAGGGTCTTCTGAACACATGCGTTAAGCAGAAATCTGAGTATGTTTGACATGCGCTTCGCTGGCGCTTTTCAAATGTAAGATGATGCTGCAGGAAAGGTCTGATACAACTACTCATTGTTTAGTGATAGAGAGTAACGTGGTGGAGTGTGTCGACCACTTCACTTACTTGGGAAGTTGTACCAGTCCGAACGAGTTGGTTGCTGACGAAATCTCAGCTAGGATACAGAAGGTTCGTTCAGCACTCACCAACTTGGGTCGCTTGTGGCACACCTGACTATCTTTCAAAGGACGAGTTTACTGCTCTGTAGTTCGTTTTTTCTTGTTATAAGACATGACCGCTAAAATTGGAAGACATGTAACAGTTACAGGTGTTTTATCATAGCTGTCTCCGTAGCATTGCTCGTATTTGATGGGATCACCGCATGAGAAATGTTGAGGTCAAGGGAAGGGTACTGGGCTAGACAGGCAAGTCAATTTATGAGGTTGTGAACCCCAGTCGACTGAGGTTACTTGGACATAGACTGCAAATGTCAAGCCACTACCTACCTCGATGTGCGGTGCCTGTCGAAGTTGAACTATGTTGGAAGAGGGTTAAGGGTGGTCAGATCAAGACGTGACATCAGTCGATGAAGTCTCTTACTCTTGGTCTGAGTCTTTTGGAGCAATGTACACTGTGTGGCTGCGGTCTTCAAGAAAAAAGGAATCAGTGGTTAAGAACTCTTGATGACGTGGCTGAAAATAAGTCGCAGTGGCTCAGATGTATTAACTCCGTGACGTATTCTGAAGCTTGAATATTTGCACTAACCGTTATCTTCAAATTGTTTATTCTCTCACACAACTTTGTCTACTTTGATATCACTAGTTCTCTATTCACCCGTTGTTTTTCAACTACTGTGAAGTGTGGCAACTTGAGCCGAGGCACTTGTGGGCAAGGTTCTGCTTTATTTTGTCTGTCTGTCTGTCAATCTGTATGACGGAAAGGCACCAAAACAATTAACTCACACCACTGAATATTCTATTTTGTATTACTATGTGCTACACCAAATAAACCATTAGTCTGAAATAAGTGTGGAGATCTGCTACATTCAGTATGCAGAACAAGATCCAGATTTTCAACACTAATTCAGTCAAATTAGTGCTTTTCTGTGATGGTTCAGAGACTTGGCGCGTTACGAAAAACATTTCCAACAAACTACAGACATACATGGACAGTTGCCGTCTACCCTCACCCGATACTGAAGATCTGATGGCCAGAATAGTAAGAATAAGCAACAAGGAACTCTGACCTCACGACGAACTAACCAAGAACCTGTCGCCTAACAAATATGCAGGAGAAGGTGGAGATGGATTGGATATACACTGAGAAGACCGTTATGGGACATCACGGATCAGACGAGGTCGTCGAGTGGAATGATAAGGGGAAAGGATGAGTTAGGTGTGCGAGGCGAGGGTGAGATGGAGGAGATTGTGTGAGGAAGAAATGAAAGCTTGTGGGCTGTCGTGGATCGACTTAGAAAAGACTGTAGAGAAGAGAGTGAAATGTGGACGTGCTACTGAAACCCTATCTTCCACTAGGATCCCATTGGTCTAGTAAAATAATTAATAATAATAATAATACATCAGATAAATAAATCTAATATCGAATTACATTCTATCATATTACCGAAGTAATAAGCTCATTTTAAAATAGTTAGTGTGGCTAAAGCAATAACGAAATTAATATGATGATTGAGATGAAGATGATGCGTGAATGTCTGCGCCAATACATTAGATTCTGAGTGATATCATCTACTTTCTAACCATCGATTTCGGCTCTCACACATGCCCCAACCAGGAAGTGCAAAGGGTCTCCACGTGGAACAAACTAACAGTCAGGGACTTCATGGACTGATGTCATGTCTTGTTGTTGGTTAAATTTAACCTTTCCCCAACTTAACCCTTGTTCATCGGAGATAGTGCGGTGGTGGTGGTGGTGGTGTAGAATCTGACTCGGGATGCGTAACATATATGCGTTTAGGACGTCATCGACTGACATTCCTCTCCTCCTACCCAAAAGCCTACTCTTGGCTCTTACATTAGTGACGTGATGGTACCACAACACTACACACGGTTTATGTTACGTAGATGACGGTTTTGTTCGATAACACGTGAAGCCTTCTGATGTCGTTCACCTTTAATGGTCATGTTTGGCAACTGTACATAAGAAGCGGATGAAGTAGGGTTCAGTTCACTGGGTTGTTAATATGTGATCAAGTGCTTTAGTGGTTCTATGCATGGTGTAAGTTGTGATAAGTCAAGGTAGTGTTTTGTATCTTGATCGGATTTCGTCAACCCACGAGGATTGGAGACCTGCTACTGGAGCCTTATATTCATTCCATTAGGAACCCAAGGGACTAATAATAATAATAATGCATATGATTTTCATTTGTATTTTCTTTGAATTCAAGCTAATCTTAATTTCGTAGCATTTTTTTCATCTTATTGTAGAGAAAAGCCAATGTTGGCCTTTAAAGGAACTTATATAGATATGGTAAAAAGAGACACGAGTCTGATAATCGGTTAACAATCTTCCGCAGTCTGCTTGTTTGCTGTTGTTATGCTCATCTTCTTGTAAACATCATTTGTTCCGTCATATTGATTTTAGCAGCGCAAAAGAATTATCCAGGTGGTGAAGCACTTAATAGATTGAATCAAATCAATCACTTGACCAATCGAAATGGTAAGTTTCTGTTGTTTGGTTTCGGTTACTTGAAAAATGTTCTAAGTTGAGTATTTTTTTGAAGGAGTCACCAAGAAGACATATTCATAAGCTAGTATTTATCTGGAAGAGTATTCTCACTGATTATCATTATTATTATTGTTATTTATCCCTTGGGTTCCTAATGGAACATAGGGCTTCAGTAGCACGTCTCTAGTGCACTCGGTTCTCTGCAAACTTTTGAACCTGGTTTCACGACAGTCTAGAAGTTCTCATTTCTTCCTCGCACGATTTCCTCCATGTCACCCTCGGACGCCCAACTCATTGCTTCCCATCTGGGTTTTACTCGAGCAACTTGCCTGGCGCGTGAAGTACCGGGTTCTCACTGATACTAGCTTTTTATTCTATCCAACCACAGGTTAAAGTTTTCAACATTGAGCTTTGTATGTAGGGTGTTAAACACTATGAACTCTTGTATTTAAAAGGTGTGGACCTACCTGAGGTCGGAGAAACTTTTCTGAGAGACGCTTGAGGCTGATGATAGTTTTGTCATCGAATTTCTTAGTGAATTAACCATGATCAATATAATAAGCCATGGTTATTGTCGTGGTAAGCATTCAGCAATCGGTACATAGGCAGGCGAAACGTCTACTATGGTAACTAATTTCTTTCACTAATGTTCCGTCGGAAATCAATGAGCCTTGCATTTTATTTCTCAATGAACCAGTAATAAGATGCTTGTATACTCACGATTGTTACAACGGATCGAAGGTATGACGATGTGAAATTCGGTTAGGTGATAATTTACTCATTTATTGTATGTATTTGTAAAGATAATTTATTTAGAAGTCATTTTACAGTATTATTGTGTAACGTTTTTTTTGTTTTCACAAACTTTCTTAGGATCAATTGATTATTGTTTCATACTATTTCTTTTAAAAGTCGATTAACTGTAAAGTATGCCCATCATTTTGTCGCCTAAATGTTTTCATCATGTTATTATTCATCTGTTATAATCATATCGTCTGTGAATCTGATGTAAGGGAAAGAAAGACGGTTAATTGAAGAGTTGCGAATATCTCATCTTGTGTTCAGTTTAGTTTGTGACTCGGAAACGTGTCGGAAAGGCCTAGGTAGGTGTGGAGCAACATTTAGACAGGTGCATAGACTTTCATCTTTATATGACAACCTTAGAGTCATTTATTTTGTAGTTATCCTTATTAGTCATGTAAGGTAAACACATCAGTTCGTTTACTGTTGTAACACTAATAAATATGTGTGATGTAGAATATTCGAAATACTAAGATCAGTTTGAAGGTTGTATCCTTGTTAGTTTGTCTGAGTACTATAGAAAAATGTGAGCTTTTTCACTGCACAATGACCCAGCGAGCTATCCTGGTGGAACGCTTGTTCCCTCCAAGTACTACCATGTCAGAAAGGTCTGTTGGATAGTGGTAAGAAGAAAGGCAGTTACCGTTGTAGTGTAAATTACTACACTATTATGGAGTATCTGAGGGCGAAGTCGTACTGCTGCTGGCTGGATGGAGTATGACAGCAGTAAGGTGTTTCCCTTGGATGACCAGCAGTGCCACCCTGGTGCTGCCTTCGCAACAGAACGTGTAGATATTAGAGATGCTCGATCCCAAACATAACACACTCCACTATGCCCCACGGTTTCCCGGTGCCGAGGCTATCGGTCCTGTCGGTCCAGGGTTAGAACAACCAAATCTGGAAACAACAACCCGCAAAAGCCTGTATGTGGGAGGCTTCAAGCAGATGTTGCATGGGCTCTGCTGTCACATAAATCTTTTTCTCTTCTAGGTACCTTAAGAAGAAAAAGCCTTCCGTGGTGTGGGCAGCCGGGAGGTGTCAACCGCCCTCACAACTCTGTCAGCGCTCAAGGTCCATCAGACCACTATCCACCCCCTCAAATCTACCTTCTAAGCTTCCTTCACGTCTTTCAGTTAACAATCGTATGTCATCTTTAATTTCCTCTGACTTTGCAGCTTTTGACAACGATCTGATTCCACAGAACATCATCCTTCGTCTCCTTAAACCATGCTCCGAATTTAAAACTGGAGCCTTCAATGTCTGCACTCTCTGTAGAATCGGCCAATAGGCTTCATTGGCCAATATTCTAATAGCTCGGACCACGGATATATGCTGTTTGTGAGACACGCATACAGAGCACAAGTGCAGTTATTCACTTAACTTCTCCTGGTTAATATGGTGAATTTGTAAAATTCTTCTGACCAATCTTTCTTTCTTTCTTTCTCTTTCATTTCATTGCCTTGTTACTTGATGCGCCGATATGAGGTGTGGCAACTTGGACCGTTACGCAGTAATACCCGGTCCCATTTTGATTTTGATGAGGATGATGATAATGTATCCATCCAAGAAAATTTCCCATCAGGAGGTTTGTCGGGATTTATTAATTTCATTGCAGTATTCATCACGAAATGATCTTGGTCGGAGAACCATTGAAAACGTGGAAGCACCGGACAACCGTCTTGTCTTAGAGTGACACTCTTCAGTAGTTCACATCCAAATTGAAATACTGTCCAGTCCTCATAAGTAGCATGGTTGGAGATAGAATTTCCCGAAGTTCTAATGAGAAGTCATCACCTATGAACCAAACCAAGTTAGAGGTGAGGAAAGCTACTCAACAGTAGTATTGAATAATTGTCGTGATTGATCGTAAATTGACAAGTGGAAAATGTGGAGTATTGGATTCTGACACAGTAACTCACCATGAAACCTAAAGGTCTTGGGTTCGATCCCTGTCACGGTCATGGGTGCGCACTGTTGAGGTGTCGCATACTAGAACGAAACACTTGTCCAGTGTCCCCAGATTTTCAGTAGTTCTCCGACCAATATCAGTCCGTGATGAATACCACCATAAAAGAAAACCTCAATTAAGTTCATTCCGGACGTTTGACTTCTTAGTTTTTGTGTATTACGTCTAATATAGGGATAAAGAGAAAACACTAGTCTGGAGAGGGACCAATCAAATGTATTTTATGTTATCATGTCTACAGTTAGACAGACTGAGGATGAATTAGTCAATCAGCAGTAGTACTTTAAACGGCGAACTATCTACATATTAGATATATTTTTTTGTTTGTTCTGGTCTTCAGTCTTTCGACCCCAATACACATTTCTACACGTCCATCGTGTCTTCACTAATTATTCGGATCAGAAATCAACTAGGAATTTGTTGAATGTTGGGCGATATCCGTGCACTCCTAATGGCTATAACAGTTTGTTCCCGAATCATAACTTCTTAATGCTGATTGATGAAAATTTTCAAAATCGAACTTGTGTTTTTTCAATTATCACTAAGACAATCGACAAGAACGTAGTCTATGGACATCAGTCATCCTGATATAACTGTACTTACTTTCCATTTAAGAAGAAAAAGTGTAGACAATACTTTTTACATGAATAAACGGGATGAAACAATATTCATTGACGGACGACATTGTAAAACCTATACAAATAGGTAAAATTATAATTTATACAGAACATAGAAAATATGCGCATTTTCGCAGAGAACTCTAGAACCGATGACAAGCACGATAACACCTGAGGATGATCTTTAGCTTCACTCAAATGAGGAATCTAATTGGTTATTTCAATAGTTGATAAGGTGACCTTTAAAGTTATCCCAATTTTCATGCCGTGTGCAACTTTTCAATACATTTGGTTGACACTGTCCAATTTTTGTTTGTTTGTTACTTAGCCCTATTTGTTTTCGTAGATTTAAACAAACGTGTGTGTCTCTACCTGTATTACACTATGGTATGTATACTCAAGTACATTATGAATTCATTAAATCCTGCTTATTTTTTATTTCTTTAGAATGTCTATTCACCAGTTTTCAGGAAATAGCTTAGTAAAAGCATAGATCTTGCTTGTAAAAAAGGGTTCAGGATATTAGCTCCTTGCTCAGTATACTTTCATAGTGGAAATGTTGATCACTAATAGTTTAAGAACTTGACTTTTTCGCGATGAGTCCTGAGTTCAAATCCCGTTCCACCTGCTTCTGCCTGAACCCTCGGATAGTATCATAAACCCTTAGACAACAAGTTTGGCTTATAATCGAGTAAATAAACATCTCTACCGGCTTGAGTTACGCATTTACATTTAAATACATTGATAACTTTTACCACTGTGCTAATGGTAATCCATAAGAGTAGTGTCAGCTGGTAGCATGAACACCATAGTTTCTAAGTCGTTTACCAATCTAATGTACAAAATAACTGTTATGTAATATCCATAAAAATTCAATTGAAATTTCCTGATTTCTTATATTAGACGTTCATGTTCATATTTGCAATCTGGCTGCACAAACTGGCATAACACGATTCTTAGAAGTACACGATAGTTGGATGTAAGTTTAAAAAAATTTCACTTTCTTGTCAATATTTATCATCAAAATGTATCTCTTTTATGGTATGTATCAACTAATTTATAAAATGACAGAAGTAGGAAACTATGAACCATTTAATTTCGACCCTGTAGCTGAATGATTAATGTGTTCGCCGCGAGACCTGAAGGTCGTGGTTCCGATCTTTGGCCTGGTCGTGGGTGGGTACTGCTGAGGAATCCCATACTAGGACGAAACAGCTGTCCAGTGCTTCCAGGTTTTCAATGATTCTCTAACCGATCTCATTCCGTGATGAAAAAAGTAATAACTGTAATATTTATCTCTGAATACGTAGGTAATACATCACTTTAATAGCCAGTATACAAGTTCATTTACTCGGCTGTGGTTAAAAGTGTCACATGAAGCATTATGATGGAATGGGTTCTGAATCCCTGAGACCTGCTACAAAGTTGAGTTACTAAGCCCATGAGTCACATTTCCACATCCACTCATTAGTTGAATGCTGAATGTACCCTTGGCAGATTCAAAATAAATGGGATGAAATAGTGGTTTTGGACATCCTAGTAACTAAGCTACAGCTCTTCTTTGTATGGTCGTAACTGCGAGTTACGTACCTTTTAGAACCTACGTTCTTTCTCTCTTTTGAAATCTCCGTAGCAATTTGCTCTTGACTATACGATAATATTAAGGCTGCTATTCACGCCTGCCTTTGTTCAAGATGAATTTTTAAAATGTTTTTAATACTTGCCTACTACCTGAACATAAAATAGCTGGTTACAAACTACTCTCTAATTATAATTGATACTTAACACGAAATAATATACACTGTGGTGTGCACTCAGCTTAAAGAACAAGGTCCGGATTTTCAACACTAATTCAGTCAAATTAGTGCTTTTCTGTGATGGTTCAGAGACTTGGCGCGTTACGAAAAACATTTCCAACAAACTACAGACATACATGGACAGTTGCCGTCTACCCTCACCCGATACTGAAGATCTGATGGCCAGAATAGTAAGAATAAGCAACAAGGAACTCTGACCTCACGACGAACTAACCAAGAACCTGTCGCCTAACAAATATGCAGGAGAAGGTGGAGATGGATTGGATATACACTGAGAAGACCGTTATGGGACATCACGGATCAGACGAGGTCGTCGAGTGGAATGATAAGGGGAAAGGATGAGTTAGGTGTGCGAGGCGAGGGTGAGATGGAGGAGATTGTGTGAGGAAGAAATGAAAGCTTGTGGGCTGTCGTGGATCGACTTAGAAAAGACTGTAGAGAAGAGAGTGAAATGTGGACGTGCTACTGAAACCCTATGTTCCACCAGGAACCTAAAAGATAAATAGTAATAATAATACTAGTAACAATCATAATAGTGTGAACCTATTATCGTATTCATGTATAAAGTATTGGTGGTTATGGAGTATGATGTTAATAAAGGAAGTATAATTTTTCACTATATAGCTATGGGTATATAGGTGGAGCTGTGATTCAGTGATCTATGCAATTGATTTTCAACCAATGGGTCGTCATGCGTTCTAATCCATTTCCACGTACCGAGGTTTTGCAACCAGATAGTATCACTAGTCCTCACGCAGTGGGTTTACTTCATCACATACTGCACGAATATGTGAACTAGGTTACGGAGTGTAGTTCGATTCAGTTTTATAGGTATATAATGTAAATATCTTTCGAATGACCGGTTGAAGTCATAGACTCAGATACATTTGAATTGCATCTGCTCATACAATGTAGCGTTGTCAACCGTAAAGTAGATTTCATTCACAGTTGATTCCACAAATTTGCTGAGTTTTCACACATTAGGCTGGTTATAATATACTTGTTAATCGCTAGCAGTCGCATCCAGGATACGCGTTTCGTCCTATTTGGGACTTGTCAGCTGGATGTTCCTGCATCCCGGCGAGCGATGGCGTTTTCTCTGAGACGCGAACCCAGTTGGCTGTTTAGATGTAAGAAAAAAAGACTATATTGTTAGATTTGTCTAGCTAGCATCGGACGCCTTCTAGCTATTGTGTAGATCAACTTAATATTATTTCTACGTTCCTGTCGGTTTAAAATTCATAGAAACTGATAGAAAAATCGAATACTTCAAAACGCACCTCACCTCCCTCAGCATAGGCAACTAGTTATTATGACAAACAATCGAGGATTGGGTGTGATTCATAGCCTGGTACACACAAATGTGCTGAGTTGAACCTAATTATATTATGTCAGGTGTAGGAAGGATTCTAGATGAGATCTACAAATCTTAAAGGAAATTGGTGGTCATTAAGGATGTCCATTCTCTCCAGTTTTATTCAATTTAATCATAGATATACTTATGGAGGTCTCCTTCCTGTCATCTTGATTTCACAGGAATCGGTCTTGTCTTATGAAAATCCTTAGTAGATCTGGAGTACGCAGGTGACATATTCCTGTTCGATGAAAGGTCTTCTGATCACATTTAATGAGAATTTAAGAATGTTTGGGATGCGTAACTTTAAAGGCCATCCTAACAACTGGTAAACCAACCAATCACGTCTCTCTGCTCTATGAAAAATTGTCTATTCAGACAAAATACTGCAACCTGATTGGTTATTTTAGCAGTTGTCAGGGTGGCCCTTAAAATCGCCCTGAAAATTGTTGTTGCAAAACTAGTCTTTGTAAGTACCCTATTTAGCAATAAAGAGTAAAGTGGTTGGTTTTGATGTCCACTTCGCTTATTTGGGAAACCGGGTCCACCTCGACAAAGACATGAAAGGCTCCTTAAGCTCTTGACAACTTATGCAAGCTATGGTGCATGATACCCGATAGCCTATTAAAGACTGAATGTACTGCGCAAAAATTTGCTCTCTTGTACTCTGTAGGTGTGAAACATGGCAAGTGGTTGAGCTTACCAACCATTTAATTTACTTGGGAAGTCGGGTCAACCCTGGTGAGATCAGTGGCTGGCAAAATATATGCACTGATACAACAGACTCAATCAGCTTTACAAATATCCAAGTCAAGTTGAGATTTGATGATCTGAAAAAATTTGGGCATTCGATTAATGGTATTCATTAATTTGGTACCTTTAATTCCCAATGAATGTAAAACAAAATAAATTTGTTTCAACTAACGTTTCATCATTTATAATGCTAACACTATGGATGAGATAATGAGCGATAAATTGTGCTCAAAACTTGACTGGTAGGTAATGCTGTGTGATGCATATAATAAGAGGAATAATAAAGAAACTATACTTTACCGTATTGCCCAAATTCAACCCTTAGATTAGTTTATTATGCAGCCAAAATTGGGTTTTATCTAATTTTCCATTAGATTACTTCGATGAGCAAAATTACATTTCACTTCAGTTTATATAAAAAAAATTTTCTATTCACATTTATAGTTAGTTAATGAACTGCAGCTATTCATAGACAGCTGACAATATCGTTTGATAGAGGTTGAGAATTCACTGTCTAGACTATAGTTGACATAACTAGCCATCTCTTTGTTTTGTACATTCTTGAGTAATGATTGGGTTATTAAGTAAGTTATAAAAGAACACTTTTCCACTAACTTTCAGGTATATATCTATGCTTAAAACTGGTATGGTAAAGCACAATTTATTTCACCTTATCACTCATATCAATCGTTTAATTCAGATATAAGCAGTTAATTTGTATTTGATAATAAATTACTGAAATAAAGTATGCACATGTATAACCGCCTTTAAATTATAAGTTAATGGCTGTAATAGACTGTGAAGGTGAATTTCTCCTGTTCAGATGTCGAAGTAAATTTCACCATGGATGGGCATGAGTTGAAGATCAATTAAAAACCTGGAAACACTAGACACTGTTTTGTAATGACACTAAAATGGATTCACTTTATTCTACTTAATCTATGTATACTAAAAGTGATTTAAAGTTAATTGAAATAAATAATCAAGGGAATAAAGCCCTATTGGTCACAATAATAACCGCCTATCCAATACGAATTTTTTTTCATGAGAGTAGATATTTTTATGCAGCGATTATTCATGTTCTTCCAGATCTATTCTCCTTTGGCTTCTTTTTTTTTACGATTTATATTACTAACCAACCTGCTGTATTTTCTCTCACTGGATTCTTTGCCATTTGACTGCTGACTCTTGTGACTTCTCTCTTTAATGTCGTATCATATACTACTTGAACACGTGCTTATCAGTAGCATAGATCAAAACAACATGATTTAACTGTTATAAGTGAATACTGGAGTTGTCAGAAGATGTAGAGAATGTAACAATTTAGGTTGTGAACTACCGCTGTTGTTACTGGGTTATGAGGTTTCTATTATATATAATTATTATTTGCCCCTTGGGTTCCTAATGGAATATAAAGCTTCAGTAGCGCGTCTCCAATGCGCTCTGTTCTCTGAAATCTTTTGAACCTGGCTCCACGACAGCCCACAACCTCTCATTTCCTCCTCGCACGATCTCCTCCATGTCACCCTCGGACGTCCAACTCGTCGCTCCCCATGGGGGTTCCACTCGAGTGCCTGGCATGACGCGTGGTGTCCCCAGTCGGCCTTCTCAGTGTATGCCCAATCCGTCTCCACTTCCTTCCAGTGCATATTTGTTGGGTGAAAGGTTCTTGGTTGGTTCGTTACCAGCCAAAGTTCCTTGTTGCTTATTATTCTGGCCATCTGAGCTTCAGTTACGAGCCAGCGTAGGCAGTTGTTGATGAATGTCTGTAGTTTGTTGGAAATGCCTTTCATAACGCGCCAAGTCTCTGAACCATACAGAAGCACTGACTTGACGTTGGTGTTGAAAATCCGGATCTTGTTCCACATGCTGAGTGCAGATCTCCACACTGGTTTGAGGCTAATGAACGCCTGTCTTGCTGCCTTTCCGATTCTGACTTTGACATCCTCGTCTGTGCCGCCTGTAGTTGAAACAATGCTGCCTAGATAGGCGGTTACTTCCTTTAACCTTCTCCCGTTGATGATGACTGGAGTTTGTTGTTAGTGGTGGTGCGGTATCTTCATCACCTCTGTCTTCTCTACATTCACTTGAAGTCCCATCTTCGCTGTCCCTTCTGTCAAGTTGTTATTTTTCGCCTGCAGATCTTTAAGTTTGTGCGACATTAGATGAATTCAATTTTATAATTACAAGATTACTCCTTATCGAAGTTTTTTGTTATCTCCTTACTTACTTACAGTTATAACAAAACAGAAGGTATAGAAACTAACTTCGATGCATTGAACAAATCAAATTTTACCCATTTGATATCAGAGATTTCAAATGATCAAATAAGCCAGAACCTGTCATCTTTTACGAAACTTTTCGAGGTGAATTCTTTCAGTGGGATATCTTTTCATCCAAATTTGAATCTATGGAAAGTAATTCAGTTCAATATTGTTCCTCGTTTGTTCATTTATGAAAGAAAAACGTTTTTTGCTTAGTGTTATTCATCTGTGTTGTGCTTTTCTACCCTGTAAAAGTTTTCGAATATATATGTATATACCGTCGCCGGGTTCTGAAGCCATGATCAGGATGATGGGAGGTGCCGTTTCCGTTCGGGTAGTCTCAAACAACACTTACAATCTGGTTTTTCAGTAGCGTGGATAGAATGGGCAGTAGCGGTATTGGTTTGTATTGTATGTGATTTTTTACCTTTTCTTGTGACAGTTAATGAAAGGAAAGCTCTTTTCTACTTTTTGAGAAGTTATCTCACTTTCATTAAGTGCGTAAACAGATTGCATGTGAGTACACTTACCACCTCTACAGAATTCCCCAGGACCACTTGCCTAACATCGTCGAAACATGAAAATTTCCCTATCCTAAGTGTGGGTAGCTACATAAACACGTAGTTTAGTGAAGTCATTTAGTCCATCAGCTTTGCATTACTTCTGTGGAACTTTGTTGCGTCGCAGCGCGCTGATCATAGCCGACTTACTATCTTGGGTTGCTTGTCAGCTCGACTGCTTAAACATTTCGCTGTTGCCATAATACTCAACGCTCTTCCATTCTGTTTTGTAACATAGCTCACCCGTTTATTCGTCGGTTTTCCTCGCAGCGTAAACTCAAATGGGCAATACAGGTTGCATCTCGGCTGTGTAGCCAGGTCACTTTGGTAGTTGAACTCGTCCTTGTGAATGTTTATAATGCATAGGTTGCGCATCTCTTTGTGGACGAGAGAGCTCGATACTCTGAGATGCGAGTGTCACTTGGGTTGCCCTAGTCACCCAGAAGCTTTTGAGAGCCGGACGTTCACCGACTTCTGGCGCACTCTTTTTCATAGCGTTCCAGATAAGTGCCCAGTTTTCGTCTACCGAAAGAGAATGCCATTCTCGTGGCCACGGTGCGTTTAGGAATTTATTCTTCGTGGTCTAATGGTCTGACAGTTCAACTCATGATAGCTTCTCCTTGATCACCAAGGCAAATCTCATAGGTACATGATCATTTTTACCTTGGGTGGCTGGACACCCATATCGCCATCAGAAAGACCGTCGTCTGTTGGAATATGGTCACGTTGCGGTCCTTTTATATCTAATCCCCATCAGATGTTTCCCCCAACTATCTGCGTCAATTCTGCCGTCATAAAGGTATTATCAAGCCCCTAATAGAAAGATTTATCATCATTTGGCTATATGAGATAGCAGCAGTTTGGCAGACTAGTGTTTATACTTGGTGGTAATTATATCAGTGGTCTCTGGTTTCAATCCAGCCGCGGTCCAGATTTTCATCTCACCTTCAATCGTCATCCAGTGGGAAGATCTAAGTCTGAAACTTTTTTGGATGATAAAAACCATCCTGATCTTTTGAAGTCTCAAAATTCTTTGCAGGAAATAATTTTATCTAATCACTTTCACTGTTTTTCAATTTCCACACACTATGATTAAGGTGCTGATTGTTTTACCAAGATAATTCTCAACTGTAGACGGTGGCCGAGGATTATCTGATGCATTTTACTTCATTTTGATCTACCTTTTTGGGCCTGTAATTTCGCCTTGCCCTTGTTAACTTACTCATACGAGATTACCACCACTAGTCGGTTTTAAAAAAACATGACTAACAATGGCTTACGATGTCAAGCTTATATAAATCAAGAACGATTTTCCATATAAATCTGACTTTATTGAAAAGCTGCTAAAACACTCCTGGCAGGGTGTGACAATCAGCGTTTGCGTAGGATTTCATTTCGGAAGGTTTGACATGATAACCTCAGAATACTTGTATTCAGAAGGTGTTATAACTTTGTCCGGTTTCAGTCGTCCTGAGCATGGGATTCTGCCGACTCTGTCTTAACTTTGACCTTGTGCGTGACTGGTCCCATAAACGCTCACACAGTTTATTACACTCAATTCGCCAACACGACGAGTCATGTTATTGGGCCCTGTCAGCCGCTCACAACGGGACACGAAGTTTGTTACTGATTGTCCACATACTTTTGGCAATATAATTCATCCGTATTTGCGACTAAATTACCTAGCCAACACACAGCATGATTCATAGGAATGAGATAGTTGATTTCAAGCCCGAAAACGAGAAAATGCACAGCAGCGGATATCATCCAGCAAGCCATTGTTACCGAACCATGGGTTATACGTAAATGAATTAGAAGTCAATCGAAAGCTGTTGAGCGAAACTACACAACAACTTTATCAACAATCTCGCAGGTTAAATGCCTTTTTAAATGGATAAAGTAACGCGACTAATGAAGTTCATTTGGCACTCATGTTTTCGACCTTTCCGTTGATATAACAAAAGCACTTCTACCAAGTTGAACTAAGAAATATAATGCCTAATTGTTACATAAAACGTGAAAGCCACCCTGGCATTAGACCAGTGAGGAGTCAAATCACCAACACTTAACAGCATCACTATTACATTGAAGAAAGTCAATTCTTCATTTGATGGAATAAAGTCTTTCCTTTTACCTTCTACATAGCTCATAAGATTCCGTTCCACCTAACTGCCGCATCGTTTCCGATTTTATCAGTTGTGCAAGATGTTTTGTATAAAGTTCTGGCCTTCTGCGCTTTTAGCGCTTCCAATTTTTAAACATGCCCGACATGTTCTCAACATCAGCTTGCTGATCAGGTACGCTAATGACTTAGAGGGGTAGTTCATCGGTTCCATATCAGTTGCAGTCAGCATCTGGTGAATAGGCAAAATGAAAAGACAGAGGTGGCAGAGGAATTCTCTCTGAATATTACTGCTACGACTATGATCTCTTGTGACCTTAAAAGAAGTTCGAAATCTTTTCCATCTAATCATTATTCTTCGTTTCTTTGAGGGGAGACGTGTCATCCAATGTGTGAATATCCGACTAGCTAAGGAAACAAAATAAGTAGGAACTGACCTGGTAGAACAAACTCGAAATAACCAAAGTCACTGTAACTCTATACGCGAACCGTTTGGTTTCATACACATTTTAACTTTGCAATTAACCTCTTGACTTACAAAGGTTTTAATTTCCTAGGTAATGGGGGACAGTCAAGGGCGAAATTTGATGGCTACTGCGGAGACTTCATTAGAGAATGTCATTGAAAGGTACGTATAGCATTAAGTGATGCAGACAAAAGGACAGACCACTTCCAATAAATAGCTCAAACCTTTCATGCGGCGCTTTGATTGGAGAATAAAAGAAGGAACCTTATGGATTAGTAAGACACTCAAGCCTACGCTGTACGCCACTAGGTAACCACCAGTATCCGTGAGCCATCAGGTCAATAGGGCATTGCAATGATAATGCAACTAATGAATGTGTTGCAGATCCATACGACTGCACAGTTTGAGAAGATGAATCTTATTATATATATATATCTTGCTATTGACCCTCACAACAGGCTTGATCCTGAAATGACTAGCCAGGTGGGCAGCGCAGAAAACAAAGAGATTGCTGCTACTTTATCGTGTATTAATGTCAGCTATGCGCTACCAAAGGTGGAATTATGCAGCTTTGATGGACATCCAGCCAAATGCTGGAAGTTTATGAGGCAGTCTGAGCTCTACGTTGTCTCTAAAGTTGAGGATGATGGACAGACGCTGCTATACTCGTTACATTACTGTAAAGGTAAGGCCAGGTAGGCTATAGAGGAATGCATTATGTTACCACCGGCAGCCGTAGGGTGCGAGATATACTTAAACGTCTATTCGGAAGGATCCATGAGGTTAGCAGTTCCTTGCTACAGGATCTGATAGAATGTTCTAACATAACAAAATGATGCTGAGGTGATGTCGGGGTTGGCCATAAAAGTGGAAAACTGCCCTATAGCCCTAGAACAAATGAATAACTTGCGGAGGAAGCCGCGTGGTCACAAAATATGACACATTCCTGGCGCTACCGGTGGATGAGAGATGGTCAGAGGCCAAAGAAACTGGTTGTTGCTTTCCCTGTCCTAAAAAAGACCATAGGTCCATGGGATGTAAAATTCATAGGGTGTGGAGTCTAGAAGGTTGTAAAGCCCAGTCAGCAGGCCTTTTGAAATTTATCCACTAGACGGAAACGAATGTATACTTATAGATCAGGTAATTATGGCAGTAGATCTCCCAGTACGGACACCTAAAGGGTCGATGCGAGAAGGTAATAAAAGGTCACCGCATCCCCCTGACGTACACTGGACAGCGGTAGAAGACGGGGAAGTTTTGCTGCTCACTGGTTGCGATGTACCTGAAGCCCACTGGGTTCTGGGTAAGAGGTTAGGAGTCAGAAAAAGCCTATATGCTCTGAGAACATTGTTGGGCTGGGTCGTGTTCGGTCCGCCAAGCTTTCGTGAGCACAATGACAGGTTTGTAAATTGCATGTCTCAGTCAGATTTATCAATCGTTCAGCGGACGAGGATTCACGATTATGAGTTCAGTGATTTTTGCTCGCAGGACAAGTCGTTATCGCTCGATGACTTAGAAGATTCATGTGTGAAGACCTCGGCAAAATATCCAGCCATGGTCTCCGCCTTTTCCCCATCGTCCCCAATCAAACAGCCATTTTCTGTCCCACTGATCAATAATAATAATAATAATATAATAATGATAATATATTTCATGCAACATAGGTCACATGAATACAAACCAGTTTACAGGTCTGATCATTATGGTAATGAGAAATGACTATTATGTACAGTATTAAGCTATACATTAGATACCTTTATTCATGGCATATAAGGGTTGTGTTGAAGCAGGCTGAGTTCGAAATTAGGAATTATTCGGTTATTGTTTGAATCTTCCAATATTCTTGAAGGTGGGGCAGGCAGTACAGTCATGACCTTGGGGTGTGTGCGTTCGTCATAAGGTTTTGATGGCATGGTGCACACTGGCAAATGCGGTTTCTAAGATTCCATTTGAGTACAGGACTGGTTAGGTAAACCTAAAAAGCGAATAACAAAGGCGAGCAGCAGACGAAGTTTGAAACAGGAGCACAAAAGTACACAGGAGTAGATCAACCATAATACATCTGGGTGAGTTCTTTGTACTGACTACAAAACTTACTTGAAGAAATATCCAAAACCAACTGTTTTGAGGTA